CCATTAGTTGAGTTTGGCCGCCATAGCAGGAAACATTGGCTGGTCACACATATTCTCATATTACAGCTTTGCAGCATTATATTAATTCAATTCAATTCATCAATTTTATTTGTATAGCCGCCAATTCATAACAGAAGTTATCTCAGGACACTTTCAAATAGAGCAGGTCTAGACCGAACTCCTTATAACATTTACAGAGACCCAACAGTACCACCATGACAAGCACCTTGTGACGGGGGCAAGGAAAAACTGCCTTTTAACCGGCAGAAACCGTCGGACAGACCCTTCGGCTCTAGGTGGGTGGTCATCTGCCTTGACCAGTATTTAGCCCCCTTTCCCAAAAAGTATGTATGACATGGATGCCTAAGGTCTTGTAAGAGAACCGTTGTGAGCGCCTGGGAGAGATTATGATTGTAGCCGATGACAGTTTTTTGGAGCCAGCAGCAGTGACTTACTGCGATTTGAGTGCTGCTCAACTGGCTGCGCTTGGTTTTTAACTCATCCATGGCAGGGAACCATAGCAACTTGCACACATGTTCTTGTATTACCAAGAACACAAAAAAATTCCTACAAGGATTTTTCAGAACTGGATTCATATCTGATCAAGCACTGCCTAGTTGACAGTTTGATCTGAGTTTGGTGTGTTGAGCTGGAACAGACTCACTGAAATGACCTGACAATCATAAGGTAGACAGCCCCTAAAGCATACCCTGCTTTATCATGCTATTTGTACTCCTAAATGGGACCGATCATTTACTAAATGAACATCATCGCTGATGGGAAGAAGACTGAAAACTAGAGATTGAGCCCTGATTGAGATCATTTGGAGAGCCGGCTCTTTTGGGCTGCCAAGCGGCTCTTCATTTTACCACTGATTCTGATTCTGATATACCTTTTATAATAGCCAATTATATTTAGCTGTTTTGACTTATGATTTGTATGGTGTACACATATATCACTTAATTATTAGTTATAGTTAGTTAATTATAAGTATTCAAAAGTACAATATTACATTTCTAATATCAATAAATTGGCTGTAGCCAAATGTTTTCAATTCCATTTACAGACCCTTGTAACTCTCTGAAACCAACCCAATGAATGCACTAACTTGCTTGTAGAACCACTCTGGCTACACAAAGCAAGATAGAACACTACAAAACCTAAGCATAGATCCCATTAATGCATGTTACTAAACTTCACTTCTTCTTCGCGGAGTTCTTGTGGCTTTCTCGTCTCGCAGGTTCATCATGAACCTGCGTGGAGCCTCCTGCCATGGTCCTGCTTGACTATCATTGCTAATATCACTGATATTTTGTTGTTATTATTATAAGTATTATTATATTATATACTACAGTTACTCATTATATTGTCCATCGTCCCCCAAATCGTGTGGCTGTTGTCAATCATCATCATCATCATCATATCATCATCATCATCATCATCATCACCAGTCATTTCTATTAGTGTAGTTCAGTCAGACAACTCACATTGAAATGTTTATTACAGCATATTTAGAATTTTGCATCTGGCTCCGCACCTCATCACTCCCCCGCAGATATGTTCACATAGAGATACTTGGGAGTTGGATGAGCAAATACCTTAACCCCCCCAGTCCGGAGCCTACAGGTGGATGCTGGGGTGGTGGTGGGGCTTACAGCGCAGCAGCAAGCAATAGCTTACACACCAGAGAGTGAGAAAAGCTGCGGAAAATTGTGCCAAGACTTTCAATATAGATCCGTCGCGCCAGATTGGAAGGCGGTGCCTTGGTTAGTGATTATGGAAGTGAGACATTTAATGTGTGTATAAACCAGTTTCTGGCAGCTCGAGTTGACTGCCTGAACTAATTCAAAAAGACAAAGTTAAAAAAGTCAGAAGTTACCTTCAGGACCAGAATGTGTATGAATGAGTTAGTTTCTGTTCAATGGACTTTGCCATCACTGAGTGAATGTGTGTGAAAGGGTGAATGTGGCACGTAGTGTAAAATTTCACATTACACACTGCCATTTTATCCAAATGTTGACCTAAAGTTATTTTCAACTGCAGCTCAATATAAGTGAGGTGAACACATTAATAACAGACTGTGAAGTAATTCTAGGCTCCAGATTCCTAATCAAGGTTCACCAGCATCATGTCTGGGTGCTGCTTTGTTCACTGGTTGCTTTGCAGAAGATGCTAGAAACCGAAACAGTCATCACCCTCCATTACAATCTTGCGCTCCAGTGGTCTCCCTGTAGGGGGCCATGCCAGTGTTTGGGGTTGAGCGGCGGGTGGCAGCAAGGACTGCTGGGCAAAAGAAGGCCTGGGCCAGCTGTCACTATCAGTGTTTGGCTGGAGAACACACAATGCTGCAATTATCTATGCACACAGGTTGGACACATCGGGGAAAATAGCTGTGTTTTTTTACACCGCCTGATTGATAACAGCACCTTGCTGCTTCCAGGTATGTTCATTTGCTTGAAATAACAAATCCAGCTCATTGCTATTCCTGGCTCATTAACAGAAATTAGCTCCTCCAGGGAAGCATGTCCTCACAGCCAACCTGGAGATAAAAAAGAAACACAGGAAGGAAAGTGAGGAGGCCCTCTCTTCCTGTGGCCTACCTGCTGTTCCTCCATACAAGGAAAGAAATCCTTCTTGCCTGGGGACAGATTAAGGCTACCACAATAGCTAAAGCCTGTATTGGTTTCATATCTACTATTTGCTCTTGTTGCCTCTGGCTGAAGCTCTTCTCAAGGACTTGTGGAGAGCAGAGTGCTCCCTGAGCCCCAGAGCACACACTCGTAATGGACCACCAATCAATGACCTGATCCTATGGAATTACATGCGAGGACATTGTTATCCCTCTCTCAGTTGGTTTAGGGCTATAACACCATTGTTTCTCACATCATAAAGCGTTTCTGGTTTCCACCATTACCGTATGAGAGGCTGAATTTAGATCACCCACAGCAATGGTCAGGGGTTAGGGGTAGAGTTAGCATGGATCTTGAGAAGTTAACCTTGTTTCTCAAGTAATCTGTATCAGATCACATTAAACAATTTACTGTCGTACGTGAAAAATGTACTGCTTCCTGTGTTTTTATGGATACAGCTAAGGAAGGCTAGGAAGCTAAAAAGACCAAAGGATTTAGAGATTTAAGAGATCTCCAAGACTGAAGCCAGTTAAATGAGTAGGACAAAACAAAAATTAACTATCCTTAGCAGGGTTTATTTTTAGATTTATGAGTATTAGTAAATCATGGCTATGCTAATACTGTATTGTTTCTAAGGCAAACATTGACTCTTGAACCTCACGGACTGGCATGGTGCAATAGACTACTGTAGAAACATGGCAGTTCAGCAGGAGGACCCTCTCCCTCTATAGATAAAAAAACAGTTCATTCTAAGCTAACAGAAACACAATGATTCCTATATTCAGGTGATTATACACTAATGAAAACATAGCTATGAATTTTATATTCCATTTCTTACAATAGGTCATCCTAAATGTTACACACTGGACCTTTAAGAAAACCATAGAAATAAAATCTAACTATCTGTGCCATAGTGAATTGCATAGCATCATATTCTTTTGCATCATATCATATCGCATTGAATGGCATTGTGTTGAATCTAATTGCGTTGAATCACGTTGCATTGTGATGGGGTGAATCTTATCGCATTGGTAGGTGCTTCACATGTATCTTTAATCTATCAGATCGCGGGCAATGCATGGATATCACTAAAAGCGACTATTCTATGGTAAGTCAGCAAGCTCCATCTGCTGAGGAAGATCATGTGATATGATTGACTGCTCCAGAACAACTGTTAAATGGACCTTGTGGTGATATTGATTTCTCAACTAAGGTATTTCATTTCTGAAACCCAAACAGCAGCCAGCAGCTTGATCCTACTCATTGATTAAAGATTACTGTTACTGCAGTATGGGAACATGTTAAAGGGGGAATGATTTTACATGTAAAGACCAGTTTACTAATTATAGGGAATACTACTCAGACTGTAAAAAAAAAAAATGCAGTGTCCTGTGTGGCAAGTCTAAGAAAATAATCGTCATAATGTCATTAGGGTTTTTGTAGTTCAAGTGTGGAGTTGAATATAATATGTAATATCCATGAAATATGTCACTTAGTTTAATCAGTGATCGATAAGGGGTCCCTTGAGGAAAAAGGTTTGAAACCACTGCTGTAATGTAATGGGTTCCCACAAAACACAAGAGATGTAAGCATGAAGTCTTATAAAATGGCAAGTAACTTAAATTAATTTATCCAATAGTTTGGAGTAATGTCGCCCCGGAATCATGGACCTGCACCAGAGAAAACCAGTAGAGCTGACTGCTATGCTACACTGTGAGGGTGAGCATTAGCCAAGATTGTGCTATAACAGGACTTCATCAAGATAAATAAATAGGATCTTTATAAAGATAATAAAGACAAATAAGACGGAATGGGCTGCAACAAAGTGGAGGAAGCTGATATCTTGATGGTAGTTTGGAATTGTCTAGGTTTACACAGAATCAAATCACCCTGTGGTTGCTCATATTCAGTCTCTGATTTGTTCATATTTAACAGGGGGGTGGCCCAATGAGAGGGTTAGGATTATGTAACCCAGACGGGTCTTGCGCTGTATTTTCAGCAGCACAGACGCTACTGATCGATCATAGAAATATTATCGGAATACTAAAGGCAGCATTGTGTCTCTATGATCCACTCACTCTTCCACAACTCCATGTTGCTACTTGTGACTTTGATCTTGAAGATGAAACTACTCTATATAGTATACAGGCTTGAGAACTAAGTATTAATAGTGCATAGATTAAAGAATATCATAGATGCCAGACGAAGCTGACAGAAGGTAGGGACTGAGAGAAATTACAACTCTGTGTGCTACTTCAGAACCAAGGACAGCGCCATGGATTTATCAATACACAGCACAGTTACACAGATATTTCAGAGCCATGGTCGAGAGAATAGATTCTAACATGCACACACTTCAGTCACATGAAGGATCAATAAGTCAGGCACACTAGACATATTGAACTAAACAACCCCTCTGCCCCTGCACTCTCTGCTACTAGTGGATAGAGAAGGGGGTGGCAGCCCTCTTTATCCCCCCTAAAATCTCCTACTGCTCATATTGTATTCTTACAATGAACTCACATCTTCAGGGGGATGCAGCAGTTAGACCTCAGCCTCAACATGACCAAGAACGGGGTTCTTTGGCATGAAAACCCTGCAATAGATAGAACTACACACACATACCTGACAGTCCACAGGTGTGGGTGCAATCCGACCATGGGGACCAATCAGACAGCTGGCAGTTGACGGGACATTCCACGACACAGGAAGCATTCATCTGCCACTTCCTCTCCAGGCCCAGCTGCAAGAGGAAACAGGGTTTTGTTTACCTGGTCTTTCTCAGAAAAAATAATAACAGTGGCTTTAATAGAAATGGCTACACAACCCACCTCTTTGCAGAATCTCAGGTCAACAGATTTGCCGTCGCTACGTACACAGTCCAGCATGCGGGTTTTGATGCCATTTCCACACACCGCTCTGTCACTGAGCTGACAGGTACTCCAGTCTGCAGGGAGACGTCTCATCAGCAAGAACAACTCATACAGCCACCAACAAAAAAAGAGCTGCAGCTTTTACAGTCACTAGAAGCATGTGTATAGCTGTATTCAAAAGTTACTGTGTGGTACTTGTGTTGTGAAGTTAGCTAAGCTACACTACCTAAGCTAGCTGCTCAGCGCAGAGCTAACCCACCAACTCTCTGAGAGTCTGCTGGAGCTTTTCCAGTCATTAGAAATACATTTATTCCTGTTTGTAAAAGTTTCTGTACTACCTGTGTTGTAACGTTAGCTAAGCTAGCGGCTCAGAGAGGCTAACTCTCCGGTGTCTGTGGTGGAGTGTCAGGCTACTGCTACAGGCCCTGGAGTGGAGACATTGGTTTGATAGAAGCAGAGGTTGGTTGGTAACAAAAGCTGCCACCACATACATCACCTACCTCCAGATCAACCATTAGCAAAACTCAATTTTAATAGCTGGATTTAACCAAGGTAGCGGCCACTATGCATTATTAAGAATAAGGAACATCTTAACTT